CTTACTTATTCCCCTTGAAACAAAACGAAAGAGCATGGGAATACGTCAAAAAGAAAAAATCAGAAAAAGGTGGATTAATTGGGCATGAAACTAAAAAAAAGAGAGAGGAAAAATGGGATAAAGGAGGAAGAAAGATTCGCATATAGATTAGAAGAGAAAGATAGCAACTTCCAAAGAGGAGAGAGATCTCGAAAAGGAAGAAATCCCACAACCCTAAACCCTAACACTAGTATAGAAAGAGAGAGAAGAGAGTTTAATTTTTGGGAAAAAATTCTCATAACCATCAGATGTTGTTTATCACTTAAGACACATAACCAACAAAAAGTTTGTTGGTCATGTTTTATGCAATACAACATAACTACTAACATCTGTTGTTTATATGCTTACAAAAAATTACAAGAACTATACTATCAATCAAGCACATCTTTGAGCAAGGTTTTTCGTAAGGAGTGTTTTTGAGTCTATTAGACAACTGTGTGACCACCCCAGCTTAGATTGACTCTAGCTGAGAACGATCTACAGCTTCACTAATCACAAGGGTCATGAAGCAATTAATCAAGCTCTAATCACACAGTCTCGGTTTATCCACCAGACTTTGGATTATGTCTCGTTAGAACTTAAGGATATAGAGGTACTGGTCTATAGAACAGATCTTGTTCGAGGAGTTTGTTTTCAAGCTGGAATCACAAAAGCTAGAGCTGGAGTTTAATCCTTTACTTTTAGCATGTGGCTTGGGCTGGTTTTTTAAGGAATGGCTCATTCACTCGAGTGTTTGTCATTGGCGTGGTGGATAATCTTCGGACTCGTTTACCTGAGAATTCAACTCTTAGAGCTATTATCATGACATATTTTTACCAGGGCTGGACTAGCATGCAAAGGGCATTTAGCCTTTTATGCGAACTTTCACGAGCTGGTCTCCTATGTGCCATTTAATTGTTTAGAGTTGAAAAGATTTTTTCCAGACTAAGGGTGCATTTGAAATTGTAATTGGAAACATTTTTTTTAATTGTATATTGCTTTTAAATAATTGTGTGTTTGATTTTTTTTTTTTCGTTACTTTTTTTAAAAACTGTAGAAAGTTATGGTAGATTTACAATAATTTTACATATAAAATTAGAAACTTCATTTTATAGTTTTTTTATTGTGACTTTTATGAACAACACCTAATATTTAATGCAATTACAAAATTATCCATTAAAATCAAATCTTGTTTAATTCAATTCTATCATAATTTATAATATTTTATTCAAACTTAATCTCTTATTTATTTGAAGATTTTATAAAAAAAAATTAAAAATTCATTCCCTTTCTATAAGTTGTTTTCCCACAAAATCTAAAAAAAAAAAAAAAAAACACTCATCATAAAAAACTTAAAATAATATTTTTAAAAAATAAATAATCAAACACTAAACTAACTTTCAACCATAATTATAGTACAATACAATTCAGTACAGCCGCAACTCAACTACAGCTATAGCCACAACACCTTATAGTAATTCCAAACTCACCTTGAGATGTTATTTCCAAGCTAGCACTTGTGTGGGTTGTATTAATTACAGTTTTTGTTCCTCGTTTTTTTTTTTTTTTTTTTGGAAAGTTCATGTTCATTGAATTTGGATGTTGTCCATTTCACTCCCACTTCAATAAAGGTTGAGTTAGCATGTCAAAGGGAAACTTTCCGGGTCAAATTAGAAAAGGCATATATTTGCAAGCTAATAAGTTGGAATTTTATGGGTTTTATTCTTGAATATATTGATATTTGAATGAGTTTTGAAAGATTTTACTTGATTTTAATGTTCTTTTTATTAATTTTGTAAGAAAGGACTTAATTGAGAAAAATCACAAATTTGTGGATAAATCTCAATGCTTCAAAAAGTCAAAGGATCAATAAATTGGTGAGATTAGGACCAAATCGAAGAATTAATAAATATAGGACTGAAGTGCACAAAATTTGATAAAGTGAAGATTAATATTGCAATTTTGCTATTCAGAAAAGCATTCTTCATAGCAGGACTCCTCCAAATTAATGGGAGGTGCTCACAAGTGTTCACATTCTGTGCGATGTAATATGACCATAATAATACTTAATAAGACTTTAAATATATATCAAATTTTTTACTAATTATTTTCAACTTCCATTTTAATTACTATATAATAACCAAAAGTTATTATATTTTAATACAGTTGAGAACAACTTGTCGAAATATATAATACCAACTTCCACTTTAATTGTTTAATATAGATACACATTATATTATATTTAAAGTGGTATTTTGCAAATTGATTCTTCTTTACTTCATCATTCTTGGATTAAAGGAGTAGTAATTAAGATGTAAATAATTTTGGATAAATGTATTTTTTAACAATAATTATTAAAATATCAAAAATTATAAATGGTTATAGCAAACAATAATTAATACACACTCTAATTTAGCATATTACATAACATACTTATTAAAAAATAATTATTTTTGGTTTAAAATTAAAAATAAATAAATTTAAAGATACAGTCATGCATGTAAGATGTTAAAAACGGCTAAATCAACTTTAGTTATATTATATTTTAACAACTAAATTAAAATGTGTGTCAAAAAAGTATGCTAAATCAAGTATATACCAAGCATTTTCCATAGCTATAAATTGTAGAACATATAATAAATGTGTATCAACTTGATAATAACAATATCAACTAAAAGGATCAATTTGCAAAAAACAAAAATAGGGTATAAATGAACTACCTAAATGTAAACAAGAAAGAAAATGCCTAATATATGTCTAAAGAACACCTATAAGGAACTTAAAAATAAAGAAAGAATTTTCATGAGGAACCTACAAATATTTTGATATTTTCACTATCAAAAATGTATACAATCAAAAAAATTATGAAAATGATAAAGCGAGAGCTCTCATAGGCTTTTAACATATTTATTAAGATAAAAATTTAAACAATTCTAATACA